AGCCCAGTGGTGTGGTTGAAGGCTACCTCCTGATGGGAACAGCCAGGCTGGGTGAGGAGGGGGTGGTGGGCTCACAGGGGAGGTGAGGAGCATGGATAACAGGGGATGGATGCAGGGCTTGGGTGCACAAACCTCTTCTGACCTGTGCACAGGCCAAGGACGATCTCACCGGCGTCTCCATCTGCAGAAAATGCATTGCTCCCAAGCCTGCTCGCACCCACCACTGCAGCATCTGCAACAGGTAGGGCCTACCACAGCACTCAGGGCAGCCTTTCTCCTTGCCCCGTCACACTGTGAGTCTGGGGCCCCCTCCTCTCTGCTCTGCTGGCTTCTTGCCTTGTCTCTTGCACAGCCTGCAGAGCTGGGGGCCGCCTGCCCTCTCCCAAACACAGTGCTTGTGCTGACACTGGTGCTGCTCTCCTCCCTCCCAGGTGTGTGCTGAAGATGGACCACCACTGCCGTATCCTTCTGCAGTACTAACCCATGGCACTCTCCCGAGGGGAGCTGGCCCTGCTTCCCCCTTCTCTCTGTGCCTTATACCTTCCTTGAGCCAGCCAACAAGGGGAAAAGGTGCTGGGGACTGGGACCAGAAGAACCACCCTGTCCCTGCGGTGGGTTTGGACCCACTGTCTGTCACAGTTATATACCCTTAACGCTAGAGGCAGCCTGGTTAAACAACTGTGTGGGACACTACAACCACCGCTACTTCTTCTCCTTCTGCCTGTTCATGACCATGGGCTGCATCTACTGCAGCATCAGTGGCTGGGAGATGTTCCGGGACGCCTATGCAGCCATTGAGGTGAGCCGGCAGCCCCCCGCCCTCACCCTGCTGTGCACTGCGGCTGCCTGGGCTGCCCAGGCTGAGCTTGCAGCACAGGGCTGGCCAGGCCCGGCCTTGTCGTGACATTGCTTCCCCTCTCCTTCCTCCTGCGAGGCCCCCATCTGCCCTGATCCTGCGGGGGACGAGGGGGAAAGACCCCTCCTCTGAGACACGTAACTGGTGTCCTGTTTTCCACCCCCTAGAGAATGAAACTGCTTGAGAAGGAGAGACTGCAGGTGGCTGCCAACCAGGTGGGACATCCCAGCCCCGCAGCTGCTGCAGGCAGCGTGGAGCAGACCTGCTCTGCAGGCTGGGTCCTGCTTGGGGCCCTGCTCTCAGTGAGCACCCCACAGCCAGAACCAGCCCCTGTGCTCGTCTCATGCATCAGAGAGCTGGGGCTGGTTGAGCACTGCCTCCAGCAGCTTGGGCTCTGCTTCCCTGTGCACCCAGCTCCCAGGGGCTTTGGCTGGTGGCAGCTGCTTGGCATGTGCTGCTCAGGCCTTCCTGCCCTGGGGAAGCTGCAGCAGTGTGTACACATCTCACCCTGAGCATCTGGTGTGGTGTCCCACAGCTGCTCCCTGACCCTTTATCTCCAGCCCACTGCTTCTCACTGATGTGCCAGCTCTCATGTGTCTCGTGGCTGTCTTGGGCTGCCTCATCATCACCCTGGCTGTTGTGTTTGGTTCCAGCTCTGCATCAGCGAGGGGTACAGCAGTCCCCATCTGGCTTCAAGCTACAGAGCAGTTTGGGTAATCTGCCCCTCTCTGGTCCTTTTTCAGACATACTACCAGACCCCACCACCCACCTTCTCCTTCCGCCAGCGAGCTTTCCACAAGAGTGTGGTCTACGTCTGGGTCCTGTGCAGGTAAGGGAGCCTGGGGCAAAGATGTGGGGGGAAACAGCATGCAGCCCCCTGTCCCATGACACTGCTCACCCTCTGCTTCCCCAGGGCTCTTGCACGCATGTCCCTGCCCTGTCAGTTCTTGGGCCACCAAGGAGAGCTTTTGGCTCTCCCACAGGGGAGTAGATGTGCTGACCTATCTATGCAGTTGAGGGTGCAGAGAGGAAGCCTTAGCCCTGTGTCACCAGGGAGGGGAAGCTTGTGTGCAGCCTGCTGTCCCTTGCCATCCCCAGCTCGGTGGCATTGGCCTTGGGTGCTCTGACGCTGTGGCACGCTGCCCTCATCACCCGCGGGGAAACCAGCATTGAGCGGCACATCAACAAGAAGGAAAGGCAGAGGCTGCAGAAGAAGGGCAAGGTGAGCACAGCCTGCAGAGCACAGGGCTGGCCAGGCCACAGCCAGGCCTCTGATGTGTGTCTCCTTGGCCTGCAGCTCTTCAGGAACCCCTATAGTTATGGCAGCTGGGATAACTGGAAGGTGTTCCTCGGTGTGGACGTGCCAAGGTAAAGACACAGGGAAGCCCCTGCATGGAAAGGTGGTGGCTCAGTGGCACATGGGGGTGTTGGGACATTGGGGCTCTCTTTGGGCAGAGCAGGACAGCAACCATCCTATGCTGGGCACTGCTCCGGGCTTTGCAAAGCACAGAGGACCTGGGCATCAGCTGGCTTGTGGCTCCTCAGCCCTGCCATAATGGTGTATCCAGCACCCCTTCGCCAAGAGAGTCCTGGCTGAGGAGCTCAGTCAGCATCATGCCTCAGGGACACAGCTCCCAGCCCTGTCTTGACTCTGCAGAGCTGAGAAGCTCCAACACACTTTAGTATTTTTGCTGTGGCCTCCCTCCTGTCCCCACAGGCACTGGCTCACCCGTGTCCTGCTGCCCTCTCCTCACCTGCCCCACGGGACAGGCCTGAGCTGGGACTTGCCTCCCTGTGTGGCTGAGCAGCACGCACCGCTCCTGTCCATCTGAGGCATGGGTGCTGCGGACATCCCTCCCTGCGGGCAGGGGAGCGCACAGGGGACCTGCTCCACTGCTGCAGTGGAGTCCTTCTGCCGTGGATCTGAGCAGCAGGCAGAAGGTGGGTGCTGGCACACATCGCTCACCGGAGCCACAGCAAATACTGGACAATGCTGGTGCACGGACGCTGCTCTCGGGGTTCCCTGGTGGCTGCATGCAGCCCTGGGAAAGGCAGCAGGGCTACTGCTCCCTGCCCCAGCTGAGGGGCTGCCCTCACAGCACAGGTACTGTGTTGTATGGTACCAGCGAGGTATGGGCCAGCACACGGCACAGCTCGGCTCTCCAGCAGGGCTGGGCACAGAGGATGCACCCCTGGCCCTGAGCGCTCCCCAGGAGCCTTTTTAAGACCATCCAATAAATACTGTTTTTTAAAGGGAGCCTGTCTCTTTTCCCTGGTGGGAGGCTCAGACTGCTGGAGACTGGGGAGGAGAAAGATGCCCCCTGATTCCCCAGCATGGAAAAAGCAGCACCGTAAGCTACTCAACACATAGAAGAGCACTAGGTCCCAGCCTAGGCTGCATGGGAACCCCCCACAGCATTACCAAAACAGAGATATTTATTCCTCTGGTGTGTGGGTTGCCACATAGCATCCACATGTGCACAGGCCTGCCCTCTCCACTCACACATGGCCAGTCTGTCCATCACTGTCCCTGCTGCAGCAAAAGGTGGGTAAGCCACAAGTGGCACAGCTCCCTGCCCACTGAGGGTGCTGGGAAGGTGCTGCAGTGAGGGTGCTGCCTGCTGGCCTCCAGGCTCCAGCCCCGGCACTGGGGGCAGTACTGGGCTCCAAGGGTCCGTGGCATGGTGGGGTGTCAGGGGGCTGGTGGGATGGTTGATCAGCACAGGGAGGCAATTCAGGGCACTCACCTGCCTGGGCTGCCCAGCAGGAACCTGCAGGGACAGAGATGGTGTCATCAGCCATATCCCAAACACACCAGCACCCCAGCAGCTCCAGCCACATGCACTCACCATTCCCCCCGTGCTGCCACCGCCTCCTTCCGCACCAGCCTTTTCTTGTCATCCAAAGGCTTGGCCAGTGCCCGGATAACTCGGGCCTTGTATGGGAGCAGCTGTACGACAGAAAGGACTCTTAGTGAGATTGCTCAGTGCTAGCTGCCCCCTGGGAAGAGGTTTGGGACCCCCTTGCCCCTCTAACATGAAGGAGCAGGCTGCTGCAGGAGCACTTACCACTATTGTGGGCAGGCTGGTAAGCGCATGGGCACAGCGCAGGGCGGCGATGCGGACAGCCTGGAACAAACAGGGGTGAAGGCAGCAGAAGGCGGCAGAGGAGAGGGGCATGGGGGAAAGGAGGAGGACCACATACCATGGTAGGGCTGGAGGTGAGGCTGAGGAATTTAGTGACCAGTGTGTCGACATGCAGGCTCATGATCTGGGGAGCTTCGAGCAGCAGCGGCTGGAGGCAGCTCAGTGTGGAAAGCTGCACCACACGGTCCGAGCAGGACAAGGCCTCGAGCAGGAGGGAAAGCAGCTGCAGGTGGGGAGAACACAGAAGACGTGAGTAACTCCAGCCATGCACTCTGTGCTGCCATAGTGCCTGCTGCTAGCTCTCACCGTGGGCAGCTCTGTCACCAGCACAGGCTTGGGCAAGTGGTTGAGCACATGGGACAGACCCTTCAGGTAATTGGCCTTCACATCTGTGGAGAGCAGACACGGTTACAGGCAGCCAGGGGAAGCACGGGACGCCAGCTCTGGTCTCCTGGCACCATGGGCCAGGCTGGGGGTGGCCGCTCACCAGGGCCAGCCCCGTGGAAGCCCTGCACCAGCTTGGGGACGTTGTCAGTGAAGAAGCGCTGTCGGAACATGATGCGCACGTCGGCGTGGCAGCCCTTGTGCAGCACGTCCGGCGACTCGCCCATCAGCAGGGAGAAGCCATCAGCCGCAGCAGGGCCCAGCTCCATGTCGCTCAGCAGGCCCAGCAGCTGTGAGGGAGAGAACCCTGAGCCGCGAGTCCTGCTATTGGGGGTCCTACAGGGAGCAGGCAGGCTCCTGGGCAGCACCCAGCCCAGCCCCACCGCTGCCTACCTTATCCGTCAGGTGTGAGCTCAAGGGGTGGTAGCGCAGCACCAGGGCTTTGGTCACCTATGCAGGCAGAGCAGGGTCAGCACTGGGCCAGCCCCTCATCCCCTCACCCCATCTCTCTGCCCCTTCTCTCCCAGGGCAGGCCTTACCCACAGCAGCAGGGTGAGTGCTTGCGTCCGGTGTGGCCCCTCCACCAGGCCAGGCTCTATCCTGTTCACTGCAAGCTGCAGGATCTCATCCAGCTGCTGCCCTGGGGACATGGAAGGGACAGGCTGAGCCACTGCCCTGCCAGCAGCAGGCAGGGATGCACAGCATTCTACCCTGTCCCTTACCTGCCGGGTGCTTGTTCACCAGCCCCGCAAAGCACTTGGCAGCTGTGGTGGCAGTGAAGGGGCAGGTGCAGGAGGAGCGCAGCGCCAGC